TTTTTCAATTTTTTGATTTATAGCGCATTTGATAGAGCAAAGTCCCCACTATCGAACGCACTATATATTATGAGTTTTATGATCAGTTTTCACGATATAAATCCAGTTTTTCGGAAACCCCCTATTCTGGAAAATAACATCTTTTAAAGAAAATGTTAATTTTTCACGGTGATGGCCATAGTTAGCACGTATTTCTAAGTATAATAGTTTAATAGATGCTGTTACCCGCCAATACATATATATAAACAACAGAATCGGATGAAAATATTGACCATTCATGTATAACTCAATTTTATGGAGAACAAGTACTACAGATTTTTCAGTGCTTCTTCAACCATCTAAAACGTATATATTTTTAACAACAATAAAAATTGGAAAGAAAATATCTTATTTGTGATCCCTTTGATATATTTGTTGATTAAAATCAGTTGTCAAATGTATTCTCAGTAGTATGTGATCATATTTTTTTCCTAAAAGAATATCTTACACATTGTTAGCCGAAAGAATAGGTTTCAGTGAGTGAATGAAGTATTCGTTACAAAAGAAAGGTAAAAGACTACATATGAAGCGGATTCATCCAGAGAATCTAAAGAAGTAGAGAGACCATTCACTATTATCGAGCACCAACGAAGAGTCAATGATGTCGGTGCAAAGTTAGTTTACATTAATCAAAGTAATATTGAAGATAATTTGGATTTAAATTTAATTATACACATGAATTCTTTAATCTCCTCACTGAGACAATTTTCATGTCTTGGCTTCGATAAATATTGGGATGAATCCACCAATGTCAAAGAACGCATTGGATTGTAGATGCAAGTTATGAGATGGGCATGGATGCGGAAGTAGCTGTACAGGTTATCTACACTTCTCGCTCATTTCTGAAAATGAAAATTCTGTAGACGTAGCTCAAGATTTCATAGCGTTGGAATTGCCAGAAAATCGTAGAAAATAGTGACTATGATTTTCGAGGGCATGATTATCTTTTTATAGCATATTATTATTTGTCCAAGATTTTGCAAACACTAGTTAAAAAAATTGCCAGAATATTTTATATGTGAGAGAAATTGGGCATGTTTTCATCTATTCCAGATAATTTGAAAATACTAGTATTACATGATATAAATTTAGATGATGTGTTTCATAGCAAAACAAGCAACTCTTCATGATTCGACTATGCATATAAAATGACCATATAGAACAAATAAAAATTTTTCCAGAAACCTTTGAATTCGTCTACTGAGTTCGTTTTAACCAATGATCTATAGAAAATAACTAAAAAATTTATTTCATCCTATGCGATCATAGCAATACTGTTCAATTTCACTTCTAAAACTTCTTTCACGTTTTTCTCACAATCCGTTTTTTTGCATTAACACTTTCGTATTTCCCAAATTCTTTCGCCATTTTTAACGCTAGAGAGCTCGGGTTAGTTTCAAAATGAAAAGAATGATTAGCTCTACAGCTCAACACGGCCGAAATTTTAGATTTTATCTTTATTGTCTCATGAGACTCAAATATACTGCAATACACACCCCATCACTACCATACTTTATAAGATAAGCTTCAATAAAAAGAAATGAAAAACGAAAATTAAAATTCGGGCTCTGTTAAGTTGTAGTGCTAAGTCTTTACTATGTTTTAAAACCAACCCGAGCTTCCTAGCATTTGAGATAGCAGCAGGATTTGGGAAACGCCGACCCCTCCATTTTGATCAGTGGTCTTCAGGTAAAACTTCGTAGACTTAATATTTTGAGCTGAAATTTTTACTATAAGCTACCTAGAATGAGATACACCTTTTCTGAAAATTTCAGGAAGATTGGATGATCAGAAGCAAAAATAGAAATTAGGGTCTGGGAGGGGGCCTTAAGCCCCCCCCCCCCCCCCTCAGGAAAGTCAATTTTGATCAAATTTATCGATTTTGTGATTTATAACTCATTACACTCTAAAAAAAAATAGGTATTCTCGGAAACCGACGAAAAAAGGTTTTCGAATCCTCGGATACCCTTTCATGGGTTTTCGAAGGCTCGGAAACCCATTTTTCGCCCTCGGAAACCCTTAAAAGGTTTCCGATAGTAACAATCTCGGAAACCAAAAAGGGTTCCCGAGCCTTCGGAAACTCTTTCAACGGTTTTCGAACTTTGGAAACCCTTTTTGGTTTCCGAGATTGTTACTATCGGAAACCTTTTAAGGGTTTCCGAGAGCGAAAAATGGGTTTCCAAGTCTTCGGAAACCTATGAAAGGGTATCCGAGAGTAAGAAATAGGTTTCCGAATCCTCGGAAACCTTTTTTCGTCGGTTTCCGAGAATACCTATTTTTTTTTGAGTGTAGTCGACGAATTTTCAATACGAATATCTCATCAGGATGTTAGAAAGCTATCGTTTTAGAAATAGAGCTAAGCAATGACCTTCATACTGCAGAAGGGCTCGGTTCGGGTTTTTTTGCACAATCAACCGAATCGAACCAAACCATAACCATCTTTGCCTCATAGTCTGACTGAATCACTTTTGACTTGAGTTTAATCAGAGTTCTATCAAATTATTCGTATCCGAAATGTCAGAACTGCTTCAAACGACAATGCTGCTACCGATTTCCTTCTTTCTCAAGTTACACTTGGAATTCATACACTACGATTTTGCAGATGGATTAAGAAGTTAAGTTTAAAAACAAACGGTAGTTTTCACGTACTAGACGGTTTTATGGAAACTGTGTTCTAACAATGTTATCTTAAAGAACACAAAATTGTGAACAATTAGGCTTTTCTAATGACTGTAAGTTTTTAAAAGGAAGGTCGCAGAGAGCACGACAATCTGTGAATTTGCTCAGAATTTTGGGCTCTTGTGTATAACACTATTAGAAAACGGTTCCAACAAAGCCCTCAGGTACTTGAAACCTCCCGTATTATAGTTATCTAGGAATCTTAATTCTTCAATCTATCTATACAATCTTCACTCAAAATGAAAATAGAAAATACATTGTTCTTATAATTTTGAGAAGTACTTCAGTGTTGAGAGACTTCATTCCAATTTCTTGATAATAGTTTCGTCGGATTTGATTCTATTTTTAGAAGGGTGTGGGGTTTAAAAAGGAACGATATCCACACCCACACTCACACTCACACTCACACTCACACCCACACCCACACCCTCACCCTCACACCCACAATTACACCCACACCCACACCTACACTCACACTCAAACCCACACCACCACCCATACCCACACTCAAACCCACGCCACCACCCACACCCACACTCACACTCAAACCCACACCACCACCCACACCCACACTCAAACCCACATCCACACTCACACCCACCCACCCACACACCCACACCCTTGTTAAATTGTACTTTTCTTTCTAAAATGAATTTTATTTTAGACAACCAGCAACTAACAGGTAAAATAGCATTGAATCCCTTTCTTTTTTGCTAGAAAAACATGGTAAAATTTTTTTCAATCCATGTGCCTATTCTTTTAGCAATGCATCAAGAGAATTTTCATCAAGAAATGCAATCCCGGAGAACCGGTGAGCTCTTTTAATTTCTTAAAATAAAATTTCCTGTGTGAATCACTTGTTTTTATTTATATTTATATTAATGAACTGATCTTTGAAATTCATATGATTTCTATTGTCATTTAGACCAAAGCTACTTTCAAAATATACTAATATGACGGCTCAAGATATTGAAGCCGTCCGTGTTGAATATCAAGTTAGTAATAATAGCAATAAAATTAATACTGGTTTCATTATATTAGCAATTACAGTTTTTTATTCAAAGATTCTTCATTGATGTTTTTCAGAAACCAGAAGATTACCTTTTTTTTTCAAAATATAACATTATTTACTTTCGAGTAATTAATATGTTAGATAAGTAAACCTCGACGTAGAATCTTTGATACAATGAAAAATAAACTCTTAATGGTTGACACTATGAAATTCACATACATTTTTCTCTAATCGTTACTATATTCAAGCATTGATTATAGGAATTGGAGAGCAGATCGCCACAAAATCATCAGTCAAGCGATGAATCTGACTATGCTGAATTCGATCGATACCAAAATATCAATGCTCGAGGAGCTTGTATGTCTACTGAAAACTTGATTTTTGAAAATATAATTCATATACTATTTTAGGGGATGCAACTGCTGTTCGATTAACTGATCCTCGTCGCATTTCTAATTATATTAATGCAAATGAAGTTAATGTAATATAGATTAATTTAAAATGTTTGAAACAACATGTATATCATTTAAAATAGGGATTATGTGGCAAAAATCGATATATAGCTTGCCAAGGTCCATTGGAAATAACGTGCGAAGATTTTTGGGATATGATTATTCAATATAGTGTGAAGAAGATTGTCATGTTAACGAAATTTGAAGAACATAATCAAAATAATACTTCAAAAAAAGTAGTGATTGTCTTTATTTTGAAGATGAAGAGAAAAAATTTTTTTTTTCATACTTTCGTTTAGTTAAAGTGCTATCGTTATTTTCCTGAAAGCAGCAACCAAAAGCTTAAGTTTAACAGACTATCTGTTCAAAGAATAGGTTTTGAATACAATCAAGATTTAGGTCTGGAAATTCGTACTTTACGTATTGAAGATGTATTTATGATATTTTATCTATAATGACTTTCTAAATTAGATTTAAATTTAAGACTACCGACAAATATGATGTCTTTCATTATTATTTTATTGGTTGGCCAGATTTTGGTGTTATTAAAGCGAGAAAGTTACTTGAACTTATTAAATTTATTAATAATCATAGAAAAGATGAGACTGCTACATTAGAAAAAACGCAACAGAATTCATTGATTCCTACAGTTGTTCATTGCAGGTTAGAGTTTAGGTGCCAATAGGCTATAAGAAAATCATATTGATGATAGTTTTTATTATATTTCAGTGGCGGTGTTGGTCGTACAGGTACTTATATTGCAGTAGATATTATAATGCGTTTAATTGATCAATCAAAGGATAATCTTTCTCAAATGAAACTTGATGTTATGGGTATTGTTGATCGGTTAAGACAAGATAGAGGGAAAATGGTACAAACTTTGGTAATTAGAAACTTTGATGCTTTTGTCAATTATACGTTTTTATTACGTTATAGGATCAATATTTGTTAGTCAATTTTTGTGTAAAAAAATATTTACAACTAACTAATCAGATCAATAATGGTAAGTGATATTGATGAGTTCGCATAATTGAAATTTTTTAGCAAGATTTTTTTCGATTTTTCACTGTTTCGTTCATTGTAATACGTATCTTAGTAATCATTAGCAATTGATTTTGTGCCATTCCAATATATATGAAATATTTGCCTCCGATTCTGATTGGATTGAGACCATATTAATGTTCTGTTTATGGTGTTCCAAAAAGTACGTCGTCTCATCTAATGAGATATTACGCAGGATGTTGGACGTCCTTTTGTACAACACTTCTTGCTCTCGCTCGAGCATCGAGTGGCTCGTTCTTTACTATTTCTACTCTTTCCTTTTCCATTCCTTCTTCCTCCGTTTTCTCCTATTGGTGTCTTCCATTTTTCTCTCTTTCTTTTCTATCTATTTCTTTCCCTCTCTCTTCCCTGTTTTTCTCTCCTCCTGTCTCTTCCCTATTTCTCTCTCCTTCTCTCTCTATCTTTTTCTCTCTCTATATATATATATATGTCTCTGAGTCAAATGGAGTCAGTTGAGTTATAGTCATTTCTTGAATAGTTACAGTCGGTGACAGACAGTAACTATCATTTGTTAAACGAGCTCATTGGTGAACTACAGAGTGCGTAAAAATGTTTTTCCAGGGGGGTAACTCTACGACAACAAATAGTAACCATAATGAATTTTGTACTAAATGAAAGCACGGGAAAAATAGAATATTCTGATGCTAAATTGTGAGGGTTCTGAATTTTTTTTTATAACAAACATAACAAATCTCTGAAAAAACGATGCCAAAAGTAGTCTTTCAGGAGCCGTAACTCTATGATTTCACACAATAACCATGATAGATTTTGTACCAAATGAAAGCGCGGAAAAAATGTGCTATCCTGATGCTAAATTGTGAGGATTCTGAAAACTCTTTCATAACGAACATAATTTATCTTTAGAATTTCGAGCTATTTCACTATGAAGAAGTTTATTGCTGAAGCAGTTCGAAGTAAATCTGATTGGAAGCGATCGATAGCATCAAAAGCATTTATTTTTCAAAACTGATTAGTGAAATCAATAATCAGTGTGACCTCCATTTGCATTCCTCACTGCCTGAAGATGGGACGGATACGAACATAAAAGAGTTTCAAATAGTTCCACATTTGATTCCATGTTAGTCAGAACATCTATGAGATGCTTTTTTAATGTCTCTTGCTTACAACGATTCTCCACGGTTTCCGATAATATTTTTCGCTCAACTTCATCTTAAATTAGTGTTCCAACATGTTCAGCGACATTCAGATCAGGTGAATTGCCCGGCCATGTGTCATTACCTCAAAAAGTGATATCACTCTCTTTAAGCAAATGTTGGGTCATATTTGCACGCACGCATGGTGCTTTGTCATGGACAAATATCACTTGATCAGGATCGATTACATTTTCTTCGTCTTTGAGAAATGGAAACACATGCTGCATCAAAATAACGTCACAGAAATATTGACCAGTCCAAGATTCACCCTTTTCTTTCATTACCCAATGCAGCTTTTTTGCCGTGAAAATGATAAAAATACCGATACATAATTGGTTTTTTACCATCTCACGATACCTTTCATCATCTTCAATATCTTCAATACTTCTTGCCCAAACTCTATCATCTTGATAATTTGGCCTGCGAATAGTCCAAACATAAAATTCATCCGAGGGTGCGAGATGAAGAAAATCTTCTTGAGTCCAATCTCTTAGCCAATCACAAAACCCCAATCGGTCCGAAATATGGGTTTCTGTTTTTAAGGGTTTTGGAATAACATGAAATGATTTCAATCCATCCCTATGGCGGTAATTATCGATTGTTTTTGGTGTAACATACTCTTTGTATTTTGCTGCAATCTCTTTGACCAAAGCATAAGAACTTCTTTTTTGCTTACCAGTTGCACTGAGAATGAGATTTTGACTGGCATCTGATAATTTCAGTTTTCGACCACACTCGGAATAATCAGCGAAGCAATCATCGCACGATCTCTCCCACCACTCTGTGGCAAATCGCGTACTACGATGAATTTTTTCTGCAATCCACTGGCGATTAATGAATGTTGCACCCCCATCTCGAGCCTCACGAAAAGCGATACATTTGATTCTGTCGAAGATTCTTTGCTGTTCTAAATCGTAGGTACCAGCCATTTCCAACCAATTAAATTAACTTCAGCCACCAAAAGAATCGATTGCTTTTGTGTATCCACCTTATATACCACGAAATAACTTTGTGCTGTTGCCGAAGGTCGTGCAATTTTTATTCTTAGACAGATAGAAAAGAAAAATACCATTTGATGAGGGAATCGAAACGTGTTTGCAGAACGAAAAGATATTCAACAGAGAATAGATAACGAGTACTGCTACACGTTTTCTCTCATTTTACTGGCATACCATCATTCATATTCAGAAGTGGAAGATAAAAAGGTGAGAGAACGAACAAGAATGATATCATCTTATGTGCTGGACAAAGTTAAATCATTTGCACAGTGGTACTTATATAAATTTGTGTGGCAAAAAGCACATTTCTTACCTGAAAACTCATTATCGATACATGATCACGATGATCCTATGCAAATTTTCAAAAATAAATTATGTTTGTTATAAAAAATTTTTCAGAACCCTCACAATTTAGCATCAGAATATTCCATTTTTTCCGTGCTTTCATTTAGTACAGAATTCATTATGGTTACTATTTGTTACCGTAGAGTTACTCCCCTGAAAAAATATTTTTACGCACCCTGTACAGTATAGATAGAGGAACACTATAGAATTATAATGGTAAATATCTGGCCAATCTATATCAGTCTATAGTATATAAAAAAAAACAAGAGAACATATCATGAAATAAAAATGTATACAAAAAGAAAAAATCAAATTTTAACTCGGACTTTTAATTAATCGGACTATAGTCAGTTAGTTTAAAAGTCAATGCTTACAATATTTCGACTTTTCAAAACATAGAATATTGTTTTTTTGCAAGGTGATAATACGTTTTACTTATGAGACAGGAATATTCAGGCATTAAACCTGACTACTATTCGTTTTGAAAATTTGTTCTGTGTGCACGAATATAGTTCGTTTTCATTGCTTCTTATTATTCTATTCGATAACAAGTGAAAATTATTAATGGAACGCTACATGTGTAGTTTTCTTAATTAACAATGGGTGAAATTTCTTTATAGTGAAGTCAAAACAATAGAATGAATGAAAAAAGATCGAAAAGAAAAAATATCAAATGTAAAGAATAGAATGAGAAAGATATTAATTATCAGAAATCGCTTGAATACAACGTTAGATTTGATACTATATATTCAGTTTACAAAAATGGTGATATTGATGCTAATGAGCTTTTCGATGGGTTATCTAAGTTATTACTAAAAATATTGCTTATAAAAAATGAATCATCATCACTCTATGTTTAGTGACATTTGATCCAGATGTATGTTATGAATTTTCCAGTTCATTTTCTTTACTCAATAAATTTTCTATCGATGCTTTGATTATTAATTATAATGAAAATGAACTTAATTTTTTAATTCGAGATCTTACATAAGGAAAATTAGCATTAAATTCTGCATTGCATAGTGATATTTTCAAAAAAGGATCGTTCAGCAAAAACAGGGGGATTGATCCAAAATACTGGATCTGGAATATTCTTTCGACGGTAATCCCAGCTGGTATTTGCTCACGGGCTTGGATTAGGTTTTCAGTTAGTTCGGTTAAGTGCGAAATTCAATTCTGCACCGATTGGTCATATTTTTGAAGGGATGTCATAGGACAAAGCCGGGCGTCCGATCCTAAATACTGGATCTGGGTCCGTCTTCCAACGGTAATCCCTGCTGACACTCGCTCATGAACTTGTGTTGAATTACTGATTAGTTGGGTTAGATGCAGACCTCGATTCTGCGTCGAATAGTAATGTTTTTAAGAGGGATCATCGAGCAAAACCTGGGAGTTTGGCTCGAAATACTGGGTCTGGGATCCTCTTCCAACAGTAATCCGTGCTCATTTTCGCTCGGAAGCTTGGATTGGATTTCTATTTGATTTGGTTACATGTTGAATTCGACTATGCATTGAATGATGATATTTTCTGGAGAGGAGGTTACTCTAAATGAGGAATAGTTTGCAAATAATATTATTGTGGAATACTGATACGAATACTGAAAGTTTCCTTGGAACCATATCTGTCAGTATTTGACAGCTCAATGAATGTTTGAGGTTTCATGTGGCATACCAAGTACGATATTCAGTATGTAAGAGAAATATTTGCGAAAACAGTCTTTCGCATATGCAGACTAACTATCTTTTTTATAGCTCTTCTTATATTTCTTTGAAAATCTTTGTAACGTACTTGAGCTGTTCGGTGCAATACATCAAAACAATTCGATAAGAATTTTTCTGCTATTATAGTATCATATCAATGTAAGTATGCTTTGTATCTGAGTTTGCTTGAATGTACGAAAAATGATAATTTAAATATCAAAAAACTTGTACTGTTTTCTATATATCCTTTTTTCAGGAAGAAGAAAATTACGATAACAGGCTATCACAGGCTTTATTATCTATATTAACAATAAAAGATGAGAATTTCTTTTTACAACTACCTGGGTTTCTTTATAAAATAAGATTTGCTTATCTCTAGAACCCAGGCGTAGCTATTTTAGACATCATGAGCGCTCATCCTAAAGAGATAGATATTGATCGATATCCGCGATATTCTGTGAGAGAACGTCAACATTCACTGTTCACGCGGCGTCACTAATGACAAGGTGATCAATCGGCATCAGGAGATATAATGATTACTACAACAAGAATATAAGAAAAAGGCTAAAGTCATCCATCAAAGAATTACGCTGAAGGCAACAGAAAATCATCAGTCACAGGGTTTCCCATACTATCTCCTCCGCATGTTCGTATGTTTTCATACGCTTCTGAAACAGGTTTATCTAACTTAAATCAGCTAAAGCATATCTTGAAAACCGAATAAAAGCACAATCTCCAAAAGTAAACTAATGCAAACTGTTTCTTTGAATACATTGGAGCAACGACGGCAACATAATCAACCCAAATAGCATGAAGATGATTGGAAAATCGCCTATTTCCGATCGAACTCACTTTTTTATTCGATGACTTCCCAGATAAATATCACCATTCGATGCAGAATTGAAGTCTGAATCTGACTCAACTAACTAGAAACCTAACCCTAGTCAATAAATGATTATCAGCAGAGATTAGCATTGGAAGGGTGTTCAAGACCCAGTATTGTGTGCCGAACCTCCAGCTTCTGTTTCATGACCGCCCTCGAAAATATGACCAATCGATGTAGAATTAAATTCTGCATCTAGCCCAAGCAAGACGACACTGAACCCAGGTCCAGAAGCGAATATCAGCATGAAAAACTCGAATCTGCCGCTAACTTTTCTTACATCTTCTTCAACTAGGTGAATCCACAAAAGCATTTTCTGATAAAGATCGGGCGGCACACCATCGTCAATGTGGTCAGAGGCATGAGAACATGGACGAGTACTCGGAAGCACTTTCACATTACGAAACAGCACTTGATATCGACCAGAAAGCTCTTCCTCCGAATCACCCCGTCTTGGCTTCTAACTACAACAACATCGGTGCGGTGTATCAAAAAATGAGAGAATACTCGAAAGCACTTTCATCGTGCGAACGAGCACTTGAAATTCAAAATATAGCTCTCCCTCCAAATCATCCCTCCTTGGCTGATTCCTACAACAACATCGGTATGGTGTATAATAAAATGGGCGAGTACTCAAAAGCACTTTCATCGCACAAACGATCACTTGAAATAAAAAAAACAGCTCTTCCTCCGAATCATCCCCACTTGGCTTCTTCCTACGGCAACATCGGTTTGGTGTATGAAAACATGCGCGACTACTCCGAAGCACTTTTATCTCTTGAAAAAACATGTGAGATCTTCGAGAAATCACTTCCACCAACAGATCCGCGGGTCGCACAATCAAAAAGAGACGTTGAACGTGTGAAAAAGAAAATGTAATTGTTTTTTTTAAACGAGAAAATAAATTGGCCTTCTTGAGCATGTTTGGCTCGTCGAAGCGCACCAGCTGCAACAAATTTCACGCACGCGCGACCAGGGATACCCTCCGTATTCTGTTGGGTTGTACAGTGGACAAAGCCGGCAATGATAAGGCAAACATACATTTATGTATGTATGACTAGCACATCCATGATCATCATTTTCGGAAAGACGATGATTAGATGGACGCTTCTAGTCATACATACATAGATGTATGTTATGAAGGCCTACTATTTGCACACCTGTACGGGTTACCAACAGGACGTCGGATATCCCTAGGAAGGTTAATTTGATTTAGAGCCAACCTCGAAAGCTCCGTTTGTTTTAAATTTTTGTTCTTCTGTTACGAAGAACGAGAAGAAGCAGAAATGGAAGGAAGAAAAGGTAAAAAAAGATAGACAGACGCGGGAAAAGACGACGTCGACATTTACGGAGTGATAATAATACGCAGTACATGATAACAACCATAGGCGGCGCAGGAGTTTTTGGATACGCTGAATCTCAGTTTCAGAGCATGGGACCCAGATGAAATTTATGGAGGGTGATATTGAGCCTAAATGGCGAGTTTTATTCAAAAAATTTTTGCGATTGAAGTTTGCGAAAAAATTTTTAGAAATCTTATTGCTACCCCTAAAAAGTTTTTTGCTTTTTTGTAGTATTCCATTTTTTAAAATTCAGTCGTAATCTACATCGAATTTCATCGACAAATTTCAAATTTCACCTAAAAATATGCATCCGTTTAGGAGTTATAACATTTTGAATTTTTGTTAAAATTGTTAAGCCATCTCTCAAAGATTCAAAATGTTATAACTCCTGAACGGATGCATATTTTTAGGTGAAATTTGAAATCTGTCGATGAAATTCGATGTAGATTACGACTGAATTTTAAAAAATGGAATACTACAAAAAAGCAAAAAACTTTTTAGGGGTAGCAATAAGATTTTTAAAAATTTTTTCGCAAACTTCAATCGCAAAAATTTTTTGAACAAAACTCATCATTTAGGCTCAATATCACCCTCCATAAATTTCATCTGGGTCCCATGCTCTGAAACTGAGATTCAGCGTATCCAAAAACTCTGCGCCGCCTATGATAACAACAACCGGTTTGTGTCGATATGAAAAAAAATCGAGCGCACGACATCTTTGTCGTCTTTAAATATTTCGTGTTCAATTCATTTTGAATGTGTAAGAACAAGTTGAATGTCGTGCGCTCGATATTCAAGCAAATGAATGATGATCGAATAAAACAGAAGAAAGAAAAAAAAAGAAAATTTCAATTTAAGGATGTAGATGAGCGTCATTTCGTTTTTTCTTTATAAATATTGAATTTTATTTTGTAAAATTATATATCTCATATATTTGGAACGGATGAAATCGATCGAAAAGAAAAATATCGATAATAATGATAGCAAGCTGTTGTCTTGCTCCAATCTTTTAAAAATTCTTCATCTCCTTAGCTCATACTAGTGTTGATGTTCACCTATCTAATTACAGTATCTATATTTATGCCTATGTGTACAAATAAGATTCAGTTTAATTTCAGGTACTTTTTCGTTTAAGTTATATAAAGAAATAAATAAGTATTCGTAAATATATTTGTTATTTATATATACAATATTTTTTTGCCAATGATAAGCTATATACCAATATGTATGATTATTTTCGTATCAGATTCAGGATCACTAATAAAGTCTTTCGAAGTATGAGAGAGAGTTGATATTTTTTGTTTCTATCTCCATAGTTTGTTTTTCATCTCTAAAGTTAGGATGCGCAAGCATAAGGATTATCCTAAAATTGGAAAGTATATAAATTAGTAACCTAGTTTGTATTTTAACTTACAGCTCCAAAGTTTGTTTTTGTTCTCTAGAGTAAGAATATCTAAGCAAAAAATTATTCTAACATTAGCAAAGATTTTTTGTTAAAATGAAAATTAAGCTCCATAATTCGTTCTGCATCGCAAAAGTTAGGATATTCAAGTATAAGAATTATCCGAAAACTGGTAATTATAAAATGATTGAGTTTGGATTTTAACTTACAGCTCTAAAGTTTGTTTTTGTTCTCTAGAGTAAGAATATCTAAGCAAAAAATTATTCTAACATTAGTGAAGCTTTTTCTCTCAAAATGAACTCACATGTACATGGTTTGTTTTTCATCTCTAAGGTTAGAGTTCTCAAGCAAAACACTTATCCTAAAGTTGGTAACCATGCAACTATTCAATTTTTATTTTGATTTACAGCTGTAAAGTTTATTTTGGTTATCTAACGTTAGGATTCTTAAGCAGAATTTATTCTATAGTTAGTAATTATATATTTTTTTGTGAGGATTTCAACTTATTATTCTTTAGTTTCTCTTTTCTTCTCTCTCGAGGATAAAATGCTCAAAGTAAAAAGTTATTCCAAGCTTAGTGATAATTTTTTTTTCTCATGTATAAGATACATTTTGGATGTCTATCGATTTTTTTCTTCTGTTCATTCAGAGAGTGTGATCATGAATCCAACGGAAAAAAAATAATCATATAACTTACATATATTGAATAGAATAAAACAGATCACTTTATTAAGAGTCCAACAATTGTAGAAGAAAAGAAAAAAAAAAGGAATAGTTTATAAAATATGTCATTTTTAAATGAAATAATATTCGCGCTTTTTATCTAAATTAATATTTGGTAATAATTGTGCATGTCGTACTTTTTTGAAAATGCTCAGGGAAAAATGAAATGATAATAATAGTGAGAAAAATTGATTAGGTATATGAGATAAGGAAAAGATTCGAGAGAAATTAATGAATCTGAGACAGGATATTTTATTTGATAATAAAATTGAATATTAATCAATAACACGGCGTAATCTAGAACTTTTTATGTTTTTTACTGTCGATGACATCCTCCTTCGAGATGATTATTAGTACGTGATCGAATACAAAAACAACTGACGTGATTCCATAAAACAATGAAAAACTTTGAGCTGTTTGTGTATGTTCATCGAAAATATAATACAAATGGACTAAATAAAGAATTTTCTAAACGTGATTGCCTATAATTAGCACGAATCATTGACGTGCAAGATGTGCTGGTATCAAGGATAACGCAATTAAATTTGCAATATATCTTTTACTGTCTTTTTCACGTGCATAAAATTGATGTCGTTTATATTAGCCAATATTGTCTTACGAGGGAACCTATTCAACTGTCCAATCGCTTTTGAGTTCGAACTCAGTTTGAAAGATAGACCCCAGTGAGGTATGAAAAGCCCCAAAAGGATAAGTGCCCATAGGCCTTCTGTCCAGAGTTATAGGCA